TATTATAGACAGAAACGAGGAAGGCGATACTTTGAGAGACGCGAATCGACAGGTACGCGCGCGCATAATGTGATTTATCGATTGTGTCGCGCTGCACTGGCGTCTTCTTGTATAGAGAGACTCCGGAAATTTACAATGTTTGTACGTTTATAAACTTTTGAATAGAATCCGCGCACTGGCGCCTTTATAAGAAAAAAAGCTGATTTGAAAAATTCAACAGCTGTCGGAGCGAGAAATCCTCTCCTGAAAGCGAGTCGGCAGCAGCTACACTGCCGGAAAAAGCGGCTGCAGCAACTACCGTTCGCGCAAAAATACCATAAAAGTCATATACGTATCGGAAGTAGGCGCTCGAGCGACATTGCGCGCAGAAAAACAAATGGAATTCGAAGCTTAAACTCGTGCGCGTTCGCAGTTCGTTCCCAGAATATAAATTTTCTCTCGGCGATACAAGTGGAGTTTGACGCATGTGTGTGCGTTATACGTACACCTGAGCTATAACTATGCAGCTATATAATACAACTTTTACATATGTGACACATATATAAATTTCTATATATTGTATATAGAAATGTGTGTGTGTAGTGCGTAGGATAATTAGTCCGCGTGTTGCGTTGTTTTCTAATCCTTGATTATCATAGTTTGCCGCGGCGCGCGCTGGTATGTGGATATAATTCAGCTGCTGCTGCTGCTGCTGCTGCTGCTGCATGGGCGCAATGATCTATTGTATAAAAGAGAGAGAGAGAGAGAGAGAGAGAGAAAGACATTGTTTGCTAGTTGGGGTTTTAATTAATTTAATTGAGGCAGCTGCGTGTGTATCTTTAAGACGAAAAAGGCCTATAATTTTTCCGTCGCTTTTTACGAGAGACGCGCGTATACAACAGCAACGCGACGCGGGTCAATATCTGCGCAAAAATAATAATTATGATGCAACCTGTTGCTGCTATATATATGCGGAAAATGGATAATAGGCGCACACACATACACACGAGTGATCAGGTATAGAGAGACGGATGGGTATATCGGTGCGCGCGCGAGCGGCTTTCGAAACACACGTATCGTACAGTAATTCATTTCTTTTTTTTCTACGATTTTCCGCGAGGGTAATTTAAGTTCATTAAAAAGTTTCAAAATTTCACGCGCTCTCAAGCGAGCGAACGTATATGACAAATTTATAATTATGAATTTCACCCGGTAGCGTTGCCGCTGGTTCGATTGTAAATTATCTTATACGGCGTACGGGTATTTAGCAATACCGAAAAAAAGCAGCAACAACGATGAAAAAGAAAAAAAAATACGAATCTACGACTTTTTCGCAACAGACGTGTATAGAAGGTATTTGTTGCTAACTATGTACGTATAAGATCTCGCATACAATGCCCTCCGACACTTATTTGTATAATAGAAGTACAGAAAGGCTTCAACAATGACATGTAGCGAGCCGCGCGCCGCGAGTGCAACAAAGTGTGTGGCATATATAGTAAATGTTTTTGTTTGTGTCTTGGAGTGTAGGTGCGTATGTATCGCGCGAAACATCAAAAAAAAACATCAAGAAAATAGGACTTTAAAAGATCTTTGCATATCGTGTATTGAGCTTCATATATACGATACGCCAGATCGTGAAAGGTTCGAATCGCGTGTGGGTGCCGCGCGACGTGCTGCTCCCTAGTTTGGATTCTTCAGCGATCGTAGATACGTGAACTGTGTGACTTCATTTTGCCATCGCAATATTTACCCGAGATTATACGTATATGCACTTTAGTCTGTGCTTCGTCAAAGTTGACTCTGAGTTCATAATGATGCGATTTTGTAAGGAAATCATTGCAAATTACGAAGTGCAGTTTTATTGTATAATGTATGGGCTTTTATTGTATACAGCCGAGCTTTAGAATTGGATTAATTATATCAGAATTTATGGGATTCGATTTTTTAATAAAGCCATAATATACATAAAGTACAATAATATTATCGAATCGTAAAGCTGCAAAATTGCAGCTATTGTGTGCGAGAATGATGCAAAGTAGAAGTTGTGTGTCATAAGCCTATACATACACTGCATCTCGATATAATCAGGCAGATTTGCATTCAAAATAGTTTTCACACGACGTGTGTACCCGCAATCGGAAGATTATCGCGAAAAAGGCGAGCACATGTCGCGCGCGCGCCTCTGCCCGCGAGGCGAGAGCTTTTATTTTATCGATCGACGTGCGCCACGGTATGCGCAGCGCGCTAAATATATTTTTATTATTATAGCTCGCCGCAGAAGGAGATTCACAGTTATAGACCATAATAAGAGGCGATATTGCGACATTTTATTTATATTTACGTGTACGAATTCGAAGGTGTTTTTCGAAGCCTCGCGCGATTATCGGGGCGTGCATTGATAGCTGTAAACTTTTACGATTATAATAAAATCGAATAGCGCGGATTAGGGTTCTGCCGAGATGAGCGCACCGATCGATAATATTAAATTTCGAGATAACAGTTCGAGCTGATTTTCCAATTCGACGAGTCGGACGGTTTTACGATGTTTACAAGTTCGACAAAATATATATATTACATTATGTATACGGCACACACACTTATACATAGTTTTTCCGTGAAAAATTATTCCGCTATCCGCGCGCGTGTGTTTTCGTACTCTATACAGACCGGTTTATAATGTAACGATCCGATTCAGCGTCGTAAATTTCGGATGAAAATTGAGCCGCGCGCATCGATTTAACGCCGTAAAAATGTGGGTTTACGGCTTATGCAAGCGCTGTGTACGCCATTTACGAGACTCGTCTCGTTTCCTCTCTGCCTTCATCTTCGTGACAGCTGCTCGTCAAAACATTCTAATGCAGTAAGCTCTTGCCCGATCTGCTCGACCTTTCTCCTCTGTTCTGTTTGAGCATATAATTGCTAAGAGAATTCGTGGAGAAAGTAAAATTCAAACGGCTAAAAATGATCGCATGGGCAAAAGAGAGAAAAAAAGGATGAACGAGTTGGGTATGAGGGTAAACGCATGCGCGACTCACAGCGAAATAGATTATAATGATGAATAATTGAAATCTATCGCCTCGGGTAAACGGCCCAATAATCTCTCTTACAGTAACATCTGACTGCTGACATCAAAAGCATATAATATATATCTGAACTAGCATTTTCTCATTTATGGGTGAAAATGGTCCATCTAGCGTTAACAGTACGAACTAGAGATTTGTTTTGAAAAGTCCATTACGATTATTTTTTTAAATTTTTTGAATTTGAAAAAAAGTTGGATCATGTGTACAAATATTGGATACATTTTACTCGTGTACAGAAATGCCCGTGTAAAAGTTTCATGAGTACAAATGATACCTTGCCGACAGAATTAGATTGGGTCTAATGTATCAAACGGATCTCTTATGCAAGTTAAAAAAATAGGGATTAAACATCAATCTAAGAGTAAACAGCAATCCTCGTACCGTTTGCACCTTTTTCCTGACTAAGAAATCACACGTAAAGTGAACTAGTGCTATAATAAATATAAAAATTTAATAAATTCATTAATATTTAATTTTCAATAAAATTGTTTACAAACTTTCAATATTTTGAAAACATTAATATTTTTAAAAAATTACACGAATTCAACGTTAAAAATTGTATTTACAAAATGGACATCGCAATTATTCCACCTCATTTTTATAATGAAGATCTAATGTAACAACGTGTAATTTCAGTTAAAATTGTGGCACGTCAATTTCAGTCTTCAAAAATGTGGGTTAAGCAAGTATCTATCCTCGCACCTTTCATGACAGCTTCGTCAAAGCATTCTCTATAATGGATTTCCTCTCTCTCTCTCTCTCGGCTGTCGAACCTTTCTCTTCATCTTTGCAAATCACCGTGAGCGCGAGTGCATCGGTTATGTACTGGTGTAATTTTGTAATAGAGATTCGCTGCCGCCGCGACGTTGCAATTCGAGATTGTCTGCTATATTCTATACCTCGTCGAATTGAGAGACTGAGAGATGATTGAGAAATCCTTTTTAATGGCCCTGCGCAAGTATATGTACGCGGCAAAAGCGCAATAATTCGAATATATATAGTATATTATTATATTGTACTCTGACATTGTATGGATTAGGTTTACATTTTACAGCAGGACTTTCGCGACGATTCGCGCTTTCCTTTTTTTTTCTGTATCAAGATTTTCGTGTATACGCGTGTGTCTGCGCGTCGGCAGGTGCAAACGTGCATGAATAAAAATAAATTAGACCAAAAGCGCCGAGCTTCGCAATTTTAGTACGAGTGAAAATTTATATTGCCAAGCGGTATAAATTGCAGCTTACCGAAATTGACTTTGGAATGAGATATTGTGTAGCTTTCCGATGAAAGTTACGAGCATCATTAAGACGCTTTTACGATAACTCATTGTTATTTGATTCTTCGACGATTGAATTGCGAGCATTTTTTCGTCACAAATGTCGGTAATTTGCCAAGAGCCTATTGTGTTTCGTGTTTTTTGTCGTATATAATATAATAAAACGCTTCCACAATCTCGCGCGTTTTCGTGTGTTTCAATGAAAAATCCAACTTGAATTATTCATTTTTCCCTTCTTTATTATTATACAATCGTTAGTACAGGTCGCACTTATTCGTATTTATGCATATAAAATTTCAGTACGAAATTTCAAGTAAAAGGTACAATAATATATAAAACATAATTAACAAGTATATTCAATTCAACGATTTTCCTCTAAAATATATGTGTATTCATATATATTTGTAACAAGCAACTCTCCTATAGAGCTAAGCACACGTATAGGAAAAATTAATTTACACGTAAGTTCGTTGCAATAAAATAGGTTTTTGATATTCGAAGATATTCTTTTTCAATTTTTTTCAAGTAATGTCGACAAACCAGGTAAAATATCATCAAAATAGATGAAGTAGTATAATATTTTTTGCGTATAAATAACTAATTGTTATTCATCAACATTAAAAAGAAAAAAAATAATGATAATACAAATGAGTTGTCGCAGTAAGGACTCATTTTTTCATTTTTTGTATAATCGTTCGATTACTATTTTTACTTTTTCGTAATCATTAACAACAGCATATCAAAACAACATTTTAGACTATTTTTCGATGATCAACGTATTTGTACTTGATAAACTTCTTTTTTTTTAGAAAGGACAAGTTTCGTAAAATTATTGGAGTCTCGTAATGTATGATCATGTATAAATGCTCGAACAAAATTTCATACATTTACAATGCAAATGTACAGCGAACAGCCAAGGATTTTACAAATAAGCGCAGCGGATTAAAAGTTTCTATATACGTTATAAAAGCTTGTAACGATCTGCCTTTTAATAACATGTAGCCAATCGATACAGGTACACACCATACATACTCGCTCGAAGCTGCATTTTAACAAACAAGAACAACAACGACGACTGCGCTAAGCGGTGTGCGTTTCTCCACCGATCGGTTGTTGTTGTTTTTTTCTCTTTCTTTCTCTCTCTCTCTCTCTCTCTTACTCTCTTTCTAAAACCCCGACCGTATAAGCGAATAATTATATAATTAGTGGCTTGCGCGCGGCATGTATACAAGTGCAAGATTCGATCACCGACATCCGCAAAAAGGAACGAAAAGAAAAATAGATCGGTTACCGCAATCCGTAAGTCGGTCTCGCGTGCAGCAGTAAAAGAAGAAAGAAGAGGGAAAAAAAACAACTACGACGTGGACTGGAAAGTCCTTCCTTTTTATATACTCGCGGCTGCAGTGTTGTGCTGCTGCTGCTGCTGCTGCTGCCAATGATGATGATCATCATCATCATCATCGATATAAACACAGCTCTCGAGTATAAACGGAAGTGCTTTACACACCGGCGCCCCGATAATGCGGCCTGTGTTACTCCATAAGAAAGAGAGACAGAGAGGATAGAGACGACGATCGGCAGACGAATTGCGCACGCGAGAGCTTTACACACATTACGTATCGTAAATGACATTACACATGACTACACGAAACGTCGCCTCATTACAATTCTTCTTCGATTTGTTCATTATATGTACAGATATGTAATATATAAAACGATGTGATTCGTCTCAGTACGGATGTAGAGCGGCTAGACCGAGTCTCGGCGGCTCGGCGTAGCTGTGTCGGTATCTCGCCGGGGTCGAGACCTGAGCCTTGGAGTTCATCGAGTCGAGCATGGAGGATCTCGCGCTGTCGCGATCCAGGCCTGGGTAGCGCTCGTTCTCGGACAGCTCGCCGTAAGTGAACGGCCTGGGCCGCTGCGGCGCCGGATGCTGAGGTTGCGGCGGCGGAATCTGCTTACCGCCGTTGCTGTTGTTATTGTTGTTGTTCTGCAACGAGGATAGACCTCGGGCGTACTCGCGAGCCTAAAAGAGAAGAGAGGGCAATGAGTTAATTTGAACTTTATCGAGTGACTTATAGTATTTTATCTCAGTTCTCTCATTTCATATCAATTAATGGGTCACCTCGATGGGATTTCTCGGGCCTCTCAGCTCTCTCGCGGCCATGGGCACCTCGTAAAAGCTCCTCGGCCTGGGTCTCGACAACTCGCTCGTCGATTGCTGCTGCTGCTCTTGCTGCGGATCGCGTTCCTGTATCATCGCAGGCACCGCACCATAGCGCTGAGGCCTCGCTCTCGGTCTGAAATCCGCCGATATCTCCGGCTGCAGCGGCGGCTCGATCGGGCTCTCGGGCGGCGGCGGCACGTGATGATGGGGCATCGCGCCCCGTCTGATCAACCTCTCATGGAGCTGCTGCTGGGCGGGCGAGGGTGGCGTCTGGTGCAGCTGATGCTGCTGCGTCAGCGGCGACTGATGCTGATGATGATGGACGAACTGCTGCTGGCGACTCGGCGGCTGGCGCTGCAGAATCTGATGCTGCTGCGGGTGAGCTTGTAGCGGCTCCTCGTGCGATAATTGGCGCGTCACTGGCTCCGATCTAAAAAGTCGTCGTGGTCGTAAAAAAAAGAAAATCAGTATCACAGTTCAGTTTTATCGTCGGATTAATTAATCCTAACGTCGAACGTTATAACGTTTTAGAGCTTGTCCGATTGTAAAACGAGCTTAAATCCACATTCTCTCTCGCGCTAAACGTGCAATTTAAAACGGACGGACGACGGTGGGCATTTTATCGGTGCGACGTCGGCACACATTCTCACTCGCACTGCAGTATATGATAATAATAGTAACGACTACGAGCGCGACAAGACGATAAAAGTCCGAGCATATATGTGTGTACAGGAGTGCACACTCGCGCGCGAACGACTCCGAGCCGAGAGAGCTTTCCCACACATCATACTTACTGCACGCACCAACACATTCGTATCACATATGCGCGCGAATACCGGCGTGTCCGCGAGAGTGAGAATCCGGGCCGTGCTAATTCGCTTCCGTGTCTGTGTGTATATGTGTGTGTACGTCTGCGTATTTGTGCCTCACATGTAAAATGTGCACATGTGAGAGAGAGAGAACTCGACAATGACGATCTAATCATTGGTGTCTATGAGTGTGTGTGTGTTTTATGCTGTACACATCGAAGGTGTGCCCCGGAGTCTAGTGTGCCGCCGCTCTCCTCGACTCTCGCGAGCAGCCCCGTACGTGTCTTTCTCAAATGTAACGAATATAATGAATCGCCGATTCGAGATTATATTACCGGCGCGCGCGCGGTCAGAAAAATCCTTATTCGCAAAAGTAGGCGAGCCGAGTTTGTGTGTGTGTTTGGACATTAGAGAGAAAACTCCGTGTGGCGATTACATATGGATATGAATGCGAGCATGTGTGTATGTCTTTGATACGAGCTTTGCGCGCGTTTAACCGTTGATATTGTTCGCAGTTTTAATGGCCTTGAGAGTCGACTTCTCATACAGCGAACGCACCGCACTCGTCGACTTCCAGTTATAATTTTGGTATAATTCCATTTAGTTGAATCCATGACGAACCCTCTAGGCACCTATCATTGTTTCGCTTTTTTACTATAGAAATAAGACTGGTTTTTGAATATGCATAATTGTTGTTGTATTATAAAGCGAGAGCCGAGAGCTTGTGCAGTAGCGCACATTGTTAATATATGCACGCAGACCTTGACCGGTAAAAGCGATCGCAGTTCTCGCGCGCTTTGAACTACTGCATGTAATGCTGCCATTCGATCTCGAATGCACGCGGCTGTGCCTTTTTTCTCTTTTCTTTTCCGTTACAATCGGTATTTTGTAAATAGGTGCGCGCACGAGTACGCACGCGTATCGTTAATAGTCATCGCTCGAGTGCGTGTATACGTATATGTACGTATACGCAATTGAAACGAGAACTCGAAATTCATTCAATCGAATTATAGCCGGGGCACGGGCGTACGCGTGTATGCGTACACTCGTACGTCGAGATAGAATGTGTATTAACGAGCACCGATTGTATACATCGAGGAAAAATCGGATTAACGAACGATTGACCCATTGAAGCCTTTTTTCTTTCGGTGCTAGGTAGGCTTTTTCATATTTTATTCTTTTTCTTGTTGCTTTTATACCGAAATCTGCGAGCGAGCCACCGAAATATCTCTCCCAGAGAATCTATATATCTTCACGCGCGTGTAAACGGGAAAATGTATATCATACACACATCCTCGCGTACAAAGTCTCGAGATACACGTTATACGCGATACAGTTGGCAGATAAACGAGCACGGCGGCGGCGGCTCTTATCTAGGCTACATACATAAAACACGTGCTGCTGCTCCGGCATCGGGAACAGAAAATCGCACTTTCGATTCCAAAGAGCATATAGTTTATGTGCATAAATGCATCCTCGCGCGTCCGATTTTCAATTTTATAATTCGTTTATAAGACCCACGGCTGCTGCTGCTGCTACGGCTGCGCAAAACTGATCTGCACGGAATTTTGCAGCTCGCGTTTTATAAAAGCTGCAGCACAAAAGAAAGTTTCTCTTTCGCGCGCGCTCGAGCCTCGCGAATCTCGATAAAATATTTCCTTGTACGGGTAAAATTTTCAATGACTGCGCGCGCGCCGACTTTTTTTCTCCGCTCGGTGTTTTAGAAAATAATTCATAGCTTATACACTGCTAGGTATATGTACAACGTATATAGTACAAGACACATGTGTGTGAACAAGCTCTCGCCGTGCACTGCAGTGTCCGCGCGCATAAGTACATTTCCGTAAATGCATCATAATAAGCCACGGCTGCAGTGGCGGCGGCGGCGATTTATGTAACGTAATCGCGCGAGCGCGTCGCGCAGCACGCGTGCACATGCAAGTACACACATAGCACTGCAGCATACCTTGCGTACCGCACGCGGCGCTTATTTTATACGTGCGTTAGTCCGTTGCGAATATATAAGTACGTATAATTACACGGCGATAAAGAGCAGCGGCGGCTAGAGAGAGATTAATTAATGAACCTCGCCGACAAAGCTTAAAAACGCGGGAACGCATTATTCACCGAAACTATATGTATAATATTAAGTACGAAAATATAATGCTCGACCTGTGCAGCGTCCTCGACTCGTTTCTTCCGTTGACCCTCGTCGTCGTCGGGGGAGGCGGTGTAGCCGTGACACCGGCGTTGCGGCCACCCGTCACGATGGCCTCGCGCTCCATCTGCCGGAACATCTCCTTGGCGTCGTGGAAGCGCTCGCGCGGACTCACCACGTCGCTGGGCGCCGGATGGCGCGGCTGGTACTGCGGACTCGGCGAGCGCTGCCTGTGCTCGGCCAGGCTGCGCCTGAGTCGGCCGCCGCCCTGATGATGGCTGCTCGGGGGCAGCTGCGTGCCGTTGCTCAGGATCACCGCTGGACCCCCTGGAGAGCCCCGATGATGATGTTGAAGATTGTGATGATTGTTGTGAAGATTGTTGTGAAGATGATGATGAGCTTTCGTCGACGGTATCATCGCGTGATTGCTGCGCTCGGGACTGCGCGGCAGTCGGGGCAGACTGACGCTCTGCTTCACCACGGCGTGCTGATGATGCTGATGCTGGAGGGTCGTGCTCGGGCTGAGCTCGTGATGATGATTATGATGATGATGATTGCTCAGGTAATCCGTGTCCTCGATGCCGTGGCCCCAGTCGTCGTCTGCGCGGAATGCATGGAAAGAAAAAAACGGAAACGAATGCATAAGAGATATTTTTCGACGCTTCGACACTTTCTCCGCGCGCCGAGGCGCGCAATTCCAACGGCTTTTTCACATTTATATATATGTGCAATGTGTATTATCATTACGTTATTATAACCGAATCGCGAGAAAACGAGATGCAACGCCGCATACTTGAAATATATCAATGCCATTATATTGTACACACGTGCGCGCCAGCCGACGTATATCCTACCTATATGGAAAATTATAATGGGCCCCAGCGTGCGCAATGTGGCGAACGCGCGGCGAGTCTATTAGCGTATACAACAGGCCTATCTGGACGCGAGTTGATGACATTTTACGGAGTGCTGCAATATACCGAGCCAATCTTCCATGAATGCAACACCTCTCGGTCTCTCTCTCAAACTCTATTATAGTATTGATCTCGCAACTTTCTAACGCTTTATCTTTTTCTCTTTCTCTCTCTCGCTCGCCCGAGTGCATTATATGTACGATTGCGATGACCTCTGCGCTCGAGCATTCCCATCACGACTTTTCGACTCCATAATCTTCCATATATAATACGTATGATATATAACGTACCGTAAAAATTTTCACGTATATATACACAGACATATATGTATGACACGGCTCGCAGGGGCCCTCGAAGGGGAGGGACGATCGAGACTCGTGTGTCTGTGTGTTTATATGCTGTATCATCGATTGAAAGCTCCAATCCAGCCCAGTGCATATAATGTGTGTGTATGTGTACATCTTGCCATGTGTGTATGTACTTATATACATATACGATACGAGCTGCAGAGCGAGTCGAATCGAGAGCGTGAGATAGGAAGAGGGGCCTTATATAGAGGAGCAGCCAGCCAGCCAGCACATATACACATACACGCGCAGACCGGAGAAATGTGTAAGGAGGCCAAGAGAGAAAGAGGATGACGACGATGTGTTCGGGACACCGAGTGTGTGTGTGTGTTTCGTCGGACGACAAGGTGTATAATGCACGTGTGTATAAACATAAATGCACCTTGTACATAGGATCGGCGAGCGCGATCACCGGCGCACAGCACAGCTAGTGGCCTTTGTCATGGATATATTATTTTGACGTGCGCAACCCATATTGGCTATTGGTTAATAGTCGCGCATACATAATATGTATCGCGAACGACGCGGGGCAGCACATCTGTATGTGTGTGTGTGTGTGTGTGCACTTGTTAAAATATATGCGCGCGCGAGTATTTGCCAATAGTCCACAGAGATAAACAGTTGAAAAAAGTTCGACCGAGAGAGTGAGTGAGAGAGATCTTACGCGCGTGTCCCGTTAAGCAACGAGAAAAAAAGAAAGAACGGCCCCTGCATCAATATTGACGAAGCAAATATATGTGTAGGCAAATTTTTTCCGAAACGAGTCATGAGCTTTTCGCTCATTCCCGATCGGCTGCCAATACAATGAGGCATTTAATATTATAATAAGTGCTATATACGCGCGTTCGAGTCGTATGGTAATAATAATAATAATAATAACGAGAGCCCGTATAGAGTCGTACGTGTATACGAGAATCGTGAATCACAGCACGCGCGAAAGTTCGAGAATTCAATTAACAACCGAAGCTCTCCGCGCTTAGCCGATCGCGGTTTACCAAATCAAAACAAAAAAAAAAGGACAAAGAAAGCCACATAATAACGATCAACAGTTCGATCCAGGTCTGCCGATTGAATGTGCATATAATAATAAAAGCTATTTAAGCGATTATCATGCGAAAAATGGGACTCGAGACCGCGAGACAGCTCCGACGACGACGTATACGCGGCCCCGCGTATTTATATTCCGATCGCGCTGGAACGTATATAGGTACAATTAAAACGAAATAGTAGATAGTTATACGACTATATAGCGATTCTCGATCGAGCGGCGAGGAGACGTCGATCTGCCGATTTCTAATGAAAATTGCCCGCGTGCACTTTTTAAGGTTAACGAGGGAAGCTCGGCGAGGTATACGACGACGACGAGGAGGAACTAATTATATATACGATGAAGCGAGGGGGAAGGGAGGAGGGGGCAATCATACATTTATATCATTAGAATTAGAAATGATTTTTAATGAGATGGACTCTCTCGCGCTCGACGTAACCGTTTATAAATAATCTTTCTCTTCGGTGATGTGTGTGTGTATATGGTACAGGTATATAATACGCAAACGAGCACACTCGCATACACAAAGTCGTACCGATCGTCATTAAAAATAAAGAGGAGAGGAGAAAAAAAAAGTACTAAATCATCGCCGCATCGATATATGCTACAAGCTTATGGTGCAGGCGCAGGTACCTACATAGCAGCAGCAGCAGCCGCAACAGTCAATGACGAATTTTATGATTCCCATAGCTCTTCGCGTTCGTTCGTTCGTTCGGAGAGTACTCGCGCACAGGTACCTCTCTCTCTCTCTACCTGCAGTATGTATACTCTCTAATTACACGAAAATCGCGCGTGTCTGGCAGCGGCAGCGGCAGCGGTGCTCGTCGGGCTCATTCGTACACGTTTGTGTATGTACATGCGCTTAATAAACCCCAGAGAGTGAGTGAGAGAGAGAGAGAGAGAGAGACCCTCGGGCTGTGGACCGAGAATGCGGAAACCCATGGCGCATGTATAGAAAGAGAGAGAAAGAGAGAAAGACGATGTAGCCCTCTTGGCTCGCGTATATATAATGGCTTCGACGCACGATGCTGTGTTGTGCTGCGGCGGCCCGGCATATAATCCCTATTGCTGCGTACATACAACGGAGTCCGGTGCCTCTCGATAGAAATTCAATTCGATAAAACGGTCCCGCGAATTTCAGTCGACTCTCGCGCGATCGAGTGCATGTGTGTATGTGTGTGTGTGATACTTTTTGCGAGATAACGCATAACGTGGCGCTCGTGACCTTGATGCACGCAATACTGCGGGCTTGGATAATACTTATACGTTAAAAATATTTCGACGATGCGTCGCGAGTCGTCGTGCACTCGGTGTGGCTATCGGTATAGATAGCGCCCACGCGGGACATTATAATTTTACGACGGTACGTCTGGACGCTTCCGTCATTGACAAGCTTAAGGACGAATCGATTTACAATTTTTCTTTTCATTGACGTTTCATTTTCGTGATTGCCGCACTTCTATTGTATAATTCATATTACGTGCATTACTCTGTGGCATGCGGCATTGCTTTGCCGAAATAAGCTCGTTATTACAATAGCAATGATAATCGATAAGTTTCAATTTCTTGATCATGTTCTGATGAACATGTATTTTGTAATTTATTCTCATATAAGTATGCAAAACTTTATTTTTTCCCGTTCGGAATCGACCACGACATCTAGCGGTTAAATCCGAAGTTATATAACAATAATAATACGTCATTCTCATACATGCGAATAGCCCCCGAAGAAAACTCGTCAAGGATGCATACGTGGTTCTTTTGCTCTACTATATACGTACAAAATATTAATACCTGTGTATCTCCGAACTACGCGTGTCACATTTCACCCTCCGCGCGCACGAAGCTCTTGTTAATTATTTTTGCGTGGAATTCGTAGCGCGTGGTTTTATTTGTCTTTTTTTTACGACACGCATTATATACACATATAAACTTACGTACGCCAACTCGAACCCGAAATATCGATAATAATATTTACCATTACTTCGTTTCCATATATCGCGTGTTGAAGCTCTGTGGGTTAAGTGTATAATAATATCCTTAAAAGCGATTGTATACAGGCTTCGCGTCGTACCTGCCTACCGAGCCGCATTGAAAATATATCGGTGTCAAGAATTTTGTCAACATATCCATTCACCATACGATATTCTTACATTACGCGGCCACTCCACATATTTTCTCTCTTCTTCTCTCTCTCTCTCTTTTACGTTTCTTTTCAATTTTATTCAACGTTTATACGCGCGCTCGTATTATAATAATGAATAACGTTATAATAGCTCTCGCATTTACGTATATATCGCAAGCTGCAACGATCGGCGCTCAGTAGCCGTATAATAGCCGCGATCGTTTCATAGAACGCAGCGATATCGCCAGCGATCCAGAAAAAAGCTACACACACACACACACACACGGACGCACGCATTCGTATATACATGTGCGAAGAGCGCCAGAAGGAGGAGGATATACGCGTTTTTACGTGTATTATACCGAGCTCCGATCCTCGCGCGGATATTTCCTCACATCGCGCGCCGCGCGGCGTATTACGGGACGTACGTAGCGCGGAGGCGCCTATGTATATAATGCTACACACACGCGCGTAATGGGTTTTACTCTACTGCAACGGGATGCGATAGCGCGTGAAACTGTTAATACCGTGCGCGCAGCGCATCGCGTTTTCCCTACTCGAGTCGCTGCTGCAGCGTGTGCGTATAATATAATACGCGCACGCGTACGAAACTTTGATCATTTTCTTGCTTTTTCGCCACGCTGCGTGTCTCTGCGCGTACATTCATGTATATATACGGTCGAGACGAACCGAGCTGCTCGTTTGGCAATAAGCCATTTTCGAGCCGAAGAGTGTATAAAGTGGATGGAGAAAGAATTTTTAGCGGTGCGCGAGTTGCGCGATATTCGAGATGTTTCGCGCGCGTTGAGAAACGCGTTCGATATTAGTGCGATTTTTTTTTCTTCGTACACTACTCGTGGTGTATCGAGATGCTGCTCGTGATGCTCGTTTTTTCCTCCGCGCACGGTTTCGTGGAATATACATCTCCTTCGAGCTCGTGGAGAGAGACTTTTTTTCTTCATCCTCGACTCTCTCGCGAGGAGGTTTTATGTTACATCCAGTTTTCAGGCGATCGATCCTATTTTTAACCTTGAGCCCCCGCATGCGATCGATCGATCGATCGACTTTTGTGTATAATTTATAATTTTAATAAACGAAACGCAAAAAATACGAATAAATTCAATTCGGTGCTCCTACGTGGGTAATATCCTAGCAATATACGTATA